AAATGTTATGATATCTATTAGAGCCCATCTTGTCCAGCTAGGGGCATCCAACCTGTGGCCACAGACTGCATGCAGCCCAGCATCACTGTGAATGTGGCCTAACACAAAATTGTAAATTTACTTAAAGCATTATGAGATTTTTTTTTGTGATTACATGTCGCAATGTATTTAATGTTCCAAGACAACTCTTCTTCCAGTATGGCCCAGAGACGCTAAAAGGTTAGACCCTAATAGCAAACAAAGCAGGTGAGTCAACAGTTATTAGGCCACTCCACCCCTGTCTGGGTCTTGGGGGGAAGCTGCTGAGGGTCCCTATTGTTGATGTAACAGCTTTGGGGGGAGGTGGATCAATAAAGTGATGGATAGGAGCTGGGAAGGATGGCAAAAGACCAATTTCCATCCTGTACGATGTCCAGAGACCCACTTCCATTCCTTCTTCTCTAAAGGACAAGAAACCCAGGATCCTAGTAACTGAGCCATGGTCTAGCGCAGTGGCACTTGGTAATAAAATGTTCCTGTCTTAGATGGGACAGGAAAGACCTTAGTGGCCCAGCCCTTCTGTTCATACACAGGCAATGGCAGAACCAGTTAACAAAAATCCAGGTGCAGTGGCTTCATGTAAAAACCATCACTAAAACCTGTGTGGCACCTATTTTTTTTATTTTGGAAGCTGTTAAAAGAACTCCAATTTTATTCTGGTATCAGATGGTCATGTGCTTTGGGTGCACCTCACCCAGGTACCAGGGATGTGAATTCTGATTAGTTTCAAGTCAATAACCATGCCAGGTACTGTTGTAAGAATGGACAGATGACAAAAGGCCTATAAAATCTGGGGGTTATTTTGCCTAGAATGCTTCTGGAAAAGATTTAATTTGCTCTTTGAAAAAGGGGGGTACACAGGAAGTAGCTCTCTTTTTAAGGACTTAAATGGTGCATGAGGATTTGCTGCTTACTTAGTCCCTGTAGCCATCTAGCCTCTGAGAAAACAAGACCAAGGATGACCAAGTAGAAAAATAGAAAGAACCTGCATACTTGGTGTTCTTAAGATGCTAAGTTGACTGCCCTGGAAACTCCCTATCTTGTTTCTTAGTGTTACATGAGACATTCATTTTCCTTATTGTTGAACATATTTTTACTTGGTCTTCTAACATTTGCTATCAAAAGTACCCAAAGTGACAATTGTCACTAGCTCTGTATTTTCCTGAGGTCTAGAAGCATATGAAGTAATTGACCAGTGAAGCATGCCCTATGATTTGAGGGAGCAGAAGGAGCCCTGGACTTGGGTTCAAGAGCAATTTACTACCTTTATTTGGGTAAGTCACACTCAGCCTTGCATTCATCATCTGTAAAATAATGCTATTTATCTTTATTTCAGAGTAGTAACAACTAAAATAAATAATGGAAGTGAAAGCATTTTGTATACAAATGTAAGTGCTTTTTAGCACAAGATGCTTTCAAAAGGTGAATTTAGTCTCCAAGTTCGCCCCAGGGTCACAGGTTGGACGCCCACCATCAGCACTGTCGTATCCTCACCGGGCATCACTGCAGCGCTGTCTGTTGGGGCACAGTTGGGAATGCAGGCAGGAGGGGCAGGATTCTAACCAGCTCCCTCCAGGCTCAGCAGAAGGAGTATCTTGATTCTAAGTGTCTTTCATGGAACAGAATGTAGTGGTACCAGCATACTTGACTACTTGCATTATTCGTTTCCTTGCTATTTTGAGGCATTTTCAATTTAATTTTGAGGCATTTTCAATTTCAATTCTGCTAACTGGTTTTGGCCCAGTGGATAGCTAGCTGTATATAAACCTGTACAACTATCTTGATTGTTTAAACATACTTCAACTGAAACTTCAACTATTTATTGTGTTCTTGAGGTGGTCTTTAAGTGTAAAAATTAGGTGTGTTTACAAAACAGTCTTTCTTGAGTTTTGAGTAACACTTATCTCAAAACTCAAAAATGAAACCCAAAAAACCCTCACCAACAGAAATATTATAAACATAGTTTTTATTCTTTGCTTACCTTCACCAAAAAGGGCCTCATGCCACCAAAATGTTTTTTGAAACTCAGTAACTGAACACTGAGCTCAAGAACCTGATGATTATTTTTCTAGACAACTGAATAATTTATATTGCTTTTTGAAAAATAACTAAGATCTGTTTTTATTACTTTGTTCCTTTTTAAAGTAGTAATATCCCATATTTTTTATAAAAACATAAAATATCTCTAGTAGTCCCAGCTGTCTTATATTTACATTTGTTCTAAGTGTTTCATTAAAATTTCTCTGAAATAAGTGGACTTCTAAAGAGAAAATAAAATTTAAAGATAAGAAGAAATAATCATGATTGTTGCAGTTATTCTGAATGTTCTGAATCTTAGCAATTTAAAGAGAAAATGTATTTATTAGCCAGGGACCTCTCTACTGATTAAAATTTCAGTTCATTCACCCGTAGATCATCAAAAGATGGATAGCTGTTTCTCTTACAAGTAGATACTGATTGATTCATTATGTAAAGATTTTCTGCAGTGAAACACCAAAAATAAATGTACTTAAAATATTTTAAAGTTTACAGATTTACATCAACAGGTATTTAAAAAACCAGAAAAGTGTGCTTTTATAGATATAAATAAAACCCTATTTTAAGCATTAGCAACCAAAGAACGTTTTGAATATTCCACTTATGTTATTTTCCATTCAACTATTAGCTTATTAAATCAGCTATATATTTAATTCAAAAAAGGTTGATTTATAAGAAATTCCTTATAGATAGCACTGTGCCTCAATATAAAGATTTAAAGCTATGTTAATAAGAAAAGCATAAAAGAAAAATAACATAACTTGCTTTAATACAAAGTTTTTTTAATTAAAAAAGTCAAAGTCTACATGAAATCAGGAAATCAATAAATCTGAATTATACAAGCTTTCTATATACTTAGAAAAACCAAAAACACACAGTTTATAATAAAACTCTTTAATTCAAAATAGAGTCTAATTTAAAGAAAATGTCATTATGCCCAGTTAAGTAGATAGAGTTTTGTCATTTAAATTAAATGGTTCACCTGAAATATGGGAAATGTACAACAGAGAAAATTCAATCTCAAGGGTATTTCACAAGTTTGCTAGCTAGCTTGCATCATGAATCAAGTTCTTAGCTTCCAAAGGGCAGACACAGTCTTTAATTGCTTTTAGATAGGCACTTAAGAAATGCTTTTGAAAAGGAGGAAACCCAAACATTGTGAATCACTCTGTTAACTCCAGGGAAAGGAGACTCTAAACACAGTAAGCTTCCGCAACTGCCTTTCACAGCCAAGAAGTCACAACTATTTCCAAGTTCCACCTGTTAACAAAAATGAGGGAGGAAACTAAAATGCTTGATTTCTTATTCAATTAAAAAGTAAATTTAGACAATTCAGTTCCTTTATCTCTGTCAACTTGGATTGATGATAGTTTTCTGTACCGGAACAGTTACAATATAAGAACTAGGGAATATTGCAGTTTCCTCACATATTACTCATTCGCTGTAACACTAGCAAAACAGTCCTTTGACAAGGAAGAGGGGGTGGGAGTAAGGTGTGGTGAGAAAAATCTCCTAAAAGTGAGCAGAAGTTAAAGATTTTTTTTCAAATTAGCAGCAGTTATAATTAGAAAAACTGAGTTAGTAAAATTGAGATAACCCCAGAATTGTAACAGTTCTCTCTCCTACTTGGCCACACGATCTGAACAAGAAAATGGAGATAAACTATGAGAGGAACACATAATGAGTATCAAACAAATACTAGAATGTAAGAATGAAAGGGGGGAAGGAGGAAAGGAAAGAAGGGAGAGAATTTGGTGGGGGAGTCCCCAGAATGGCCTTACTGAAACACTGTGGAACTATCTGGCAGCAACATTTATAACAACTTTTGTAGATTAGCATAATCTATGCAATTCTTCCCAATTAGGGAAAATATCCCTAAAAATAAATCATTTTAGATTTTGCTCACAGATCATTTGTAATGGTTATAACTGTTATATCTTTTTAAAAATTCAGTCAAGACAAACATTATGCCATTCTTTGATAAAGTACTATTCCTTAACTAGTACTTATGAAAGTAAAACTGCAGAGAGTCATTTTAGAATTAAAATGTTGAGCTAGAAAGATTTAATTCTTGGGGAAATAGCCAAAGCAATTGATGCTGACATCGTCATCTAATCACAACACCTCTGGCCTACACCTACCTCCCCAGTTCCATTCCCAGGCTCCACAGTGATGTAGCTACACACGAACGACACTGCCCTTCAGTAAGGTGATTTACATCAAAGATCTGCCATGTCTGATTACCATATTCCCACAAGAAAGCAAAATTCCACTTTGCTGTGAACATCCACTCTGTTCAGGATCTTTGGTACATTTGGAGTATAAGAAAATAATGGCACAATCATACAAGTACTATCAAAGGAAAATTTTTCATTAAAAAAAATAAAAGTTAACCAGCCATGATATGTAACAACTTTCTAGAAAACCAAAGTAAATAGCTCTTTGTACTCTACAAGTCCATTTACATGATCAGAAGTTTGACATTTAAAAAAATAGTTTAATAAAAATACACTAGGTTCTACAAGCAGCCTTCATGGTCATTTCTTATATTCAACTCACCATAATCAAATTAAAATAATGCCATGTCCTCTTGTTAAAAAAAGAAGTCCTCTTGTCACAAGAAAAGCAACTTTACATTTTATATAATATAGTACATCTCCCCTATGAGTACACAGACTAAGTATATAAAGGTCATCAGTGTTTCTGAATGCAAAGTAAATATATTAGTGGAGTGCTTGTGTGAAGGTGTTAAACTTCCTCCTTGTTATAAACTTGTCACTCCCTACTGCGGAGTTTGTGTTTTAACATGATGATAAATCCTATTTTTTTAAATAACCAGTGTATTTCCTTTTTAAAATTTCTTAAAACCATTATAGAAATTGTCTTCATATGTATTCTATAGATGTCCAAAGCAGTAGGGCAAGTGTTCTGACACCAACTATGGAAGATGGCTTTTATTGATTATCTAGACCCATCAAATTTGCAGTGAAACAGCAGTACTGCAGTGTTACCTACAGGTTAGCCTATGTTGCTTTAAATGATATGTTTCTCCTGAATTGATTAAAGGTGTTACAGTACAAAGCCACAGCACACATAGGCAGAATGGACCTTAAAACGCATGTAGGCAGTGCAGTTAGAAAGGGATGTACATTTCTTTTATTCCAGTACCTTCGTATAATAAAGTTAACAAAAATAACAAAATATTAAAAAAAAAAGCCAGCTGGCACTGCCAACCAATTCCTATAGTAGTCTTAGAAATCCTAATCCTGTAGAATTTCCTCTTGTAGGCATAAGCACCACCGTCTTCAGGAGTGTTTCAGTGCGTTGTTACCTACGCCAAGCAAGCCTGGTGATGCAGCTACCTGAGTTCTCTTGGTTGTGGGCGTATGTGATCTTCACTCATAATTTCCCAGGTTTCATGTAGGTGGGGATAGAGCCACGCTGAGTCAACCCTTCAAACCTCTTATATGTATAATTGAGGAAAACCCAGTCTTTGGATTTGTAGTCCGGTTCTGTGGTGTTTGGCACTAGAGAGAGAGAAAAATTAACCAAGAGCAAAAGAATTGTATTAGTGAAAATGTCATCATTTATAGATTTAATAGTGTTAGTTGTGTTGTCAATTGCCTTACCTGGTTGTAAAATATCAGATTCAGGAAAGTCATCAAAATTTGAAGTATCATCAATGCTTTTGATTTCTATAGGAATTGCTGCTGGCCTTTCCCTGTAAAAAGTATTGAGTAGCCATGATAAATTTTCTTGAACTCTTTAATTTTCCAAAAAATAATTCTACTTGAAAATTCTTCATGCTGTTCTTCATATGTATTCTATAGGGAAGTTGTTATGGATTTGAAAAGTTAGGTGGATTCATAATTGAGTATAATTTTTTATGAAAAAAAATAGTATCATTTACTTGGAACTTTTATTTCTTTGTATCAAGACTTATGCTGGGTTTTTTTTTTCATGGAAAACTAGTGTTAATGAAAAATAAAGTAAAACAGATTTCATTGAAAAGATTTCATAATTATATAAAGTATATTAGGGGGACTGGATCCTACCTAATTGACTTGGGAATATAATTCTTCTAAGAGAGGAAACATACATCAAATCATTTGGGAAAATAAGGGGCTCTTAAGAGTGATGGGACTACACATTTGTGATGAAATCTGAATCCAAAACTTCTTAGGAGTCATATAAATTCAAAGGGAATCAGGGACATTAGGTTAAAAATATGAGTCATGAAAATGCCTTCTTACCAGGCTAAAAGTTTTAAAGTATAGAAGTAGTTAAAAGAAGCTATCAATTTTTATTGCTTCTATAGTTTTAACAAATATTTACTGGATCTATTCAGGTTAAGTTTACATTACGCAAAAGCATGTATATATTTTTCCCAGAATTATTCCAAGTTATTTATATGTAATAAATTTATATTAGTTTAGTGGAAAGAACCATAGACCCTTGTCCCCTCAGATCTAATCTCTCTTCATTAACTAGCAGTATGACCTCAGGCAAGCAAGCCTCTACTTTGCGACCATTTCCTTATTATGAAGCCAAGGCACTGAACTGGTGGTCTCTAGGCACCCTAGTAACTGTAAAAAGGGGGGGAATCACAGTCCTGTTCACTGAGTGCGCTCTCTCTCTCTCTCTCTTTCACACACACACACACACGCACACACACACACGGTATAATATGACGCAGCAGGATTCCAGAATAAAATTGCCCAGGTCCAATTCTAGTTAGTAATTCTAGCTATTTACTAGCTGTGGCACTGTAGCTAGTCACTTCTCTATGCATTAGCTTCCTCATTTGTAAAATAAGGAAAATAATAGTGCCTATTTTATAAGACTAATTACAAGGATAAGAAATCTACATAAAGTACTAAGCAAAGTGCTGAACCTATAATAAATGATCAAAAAATTAGCTATTTTTATAACAGAGTGCCTAACCCACAGTAGAAGCTCCAGTGAAGACCTCCATGGCAGAAGTGACACGTAAGCTGTCTTAGAAGATGGAAGGAGTGGGCATGGCAGGGGCAGGCAGAAACAAGGGCACGGAGGAGAAGAGCATTTCAGTCAGGGTGAGCAGCAAATGACAAAGTGTGAGGTAGGAGGAGCAGGAAAATTTATACAAGATGAAATCTGTAGCGATGAGGTAAGAGTCATACCCCACAGTCGTGAAATGCAGTTAAGGATCCTTAAGTGTGTTCTAAGTGCAAAGGGAAGGAAGAAAATGGCATGATCAGATTTGTTTCTAAACTGTTCCTATGTGGAGAACACATCAGAATTATTGAAGATAGTTTGGCCATAAACTGAATAAAAGCCAGTGCTCACAATTAACAAATATAAGCAAATTCTTATGTTACTTGCATTATTTAACTTTCCTCACAATGTTTTAAAAGGCACTGAATCTTATAGATTAATAAAGGAGACAAAGTATGGTATATTAACAAGAGGACAAAAGTGAAAGGTTCTAGTGTTAAACGGAGATGCAACTTGGTTGTGCTGCCAGCCGTCATCATGTAACTCTGGGCACAGAAGTCAAACCAGCGTACAGTGTGTGATCGTCCCCTTGAAGTGGGCATCAGTTAAAACCAGTCCTTTAGTTATTGTACAGTCTCACTCACACAATCTGAAAAACACTGAGTTAATAATACGACAGCATTGCTTCTTATATTTAATCCAGCAGAATCAGAGACAAAGTAATCACTAAAGCATTTTTTACTCAGCCCTTTTCCATTCAAAGCCTATGAACATACCTGATGTGCCCCCAGTCTACACCTTCAAAAAAGGGATGACCTTTTATTTCTTCTACTCCACTATTTCCAATTCTGTTTTCAGAATCAATACAAAATCTAGAAAATGGACACAGAAAAATTATCATATGCAAATTACATCTAAGGTTTTCTATTTTCATTACTTCAAACTTTTCACTTTTGTGTTTATTATGGGAAATGTGGGAGAAAACATAAATTACCTGTAACTGCATCACTCAGATAACTAAACAGTTTGAAGTCATTTCCTTCTAGTATTTTAATTTAAAAAATATTATGTTGATAAATTATTTACTGTTTTAGGACTTTTTTTCCACTTAATATATTGAGAAAATTTCCCAAAGTCATTAAAAGTTTTTCTATAACTTCATTTTCTGGAGTTTATATATGGAAAGATTATAATTTATTTAGCCAGTCCACTACTGCTGGACATTTAGTTTTCAATTTTTCATTACTGAAAACAGTATCATGATAAACATATTGTACCTAAATCTTTACACACATTCCGTATAAACAAAATTCCTAAAAGTAGAATTTCTGGGTCAAGGGTCATATACAGCTTAAAGATTTTTCATAATATGCTGCCAATGGCTGTTCCCATGGTTGCACCAATGTATATTCCTTCTAGCCATTCACAACAGAATCAAAACACTTCATTTTAACTGAGAAACAGAATGGAATCCTTTGCTTAGATAAGATTTCACATAAAGACTTTTGTGATATGAACTGCTACTAACAATGTAGTTTTCCTTTTCTCTTTAATGGGACAGGATCACTGCAGTCTCACAGGAGTGACCTTTGAACAATATAAGATCTCTGCTCTTAACTCTTAGTTTGCTTTTTTTCCTGCATACTTCCTTTTAAGAGTTTACATTAACAACAACAGAAACAACCAAACACCTTTTCTTTACTGACCTCTTTGACTGTATGTATCAGTGGTAGTCCTTTCCCTCCCACAAAAGTGAAATGGCCAATTTGGTCTTTTAGGTACCTGTGAAGTTTTAAGGTATGACAAACTCCTAGTCTAGGGACTTTAACCACTAACCTAAGAATTAAATCCTTGGCTTTTTCAGATATAGGCACCTCTGGAGGAAATACCAGAGTTTCTTTCCAGTTCATCACTTTTCTGTATGTTTCTTGAGGTGTTTCAGAACAGAAAGGTGGATACCCTACATATCAGAGAAAACAAAAGTTTTGTCAGCTTTTATGATCAAATATGCTCTATACCTGCTATATACAAAGCCCTGAGTGCTCTATTTAATAATAAAAATACCACCAGTCATCAATTTATAATAAAATTCCTAATGAAGTCAAAAAAGTAAAGGATTTAAAGCATTTTCCTCCCCCACTTTTACCTGAAAGGCCATGCAGATACAGTTTTGGTACACAGGAGTTCAGTTAAATACCCACTTCTTGAAACTGGATCCCTAGGGAGCTCATTGTGGAGTGGGTGGGGAAAGGTGGAGGTGTGTGTGTCAGAAATTGGTTTAAAAGAATTCTGATGTGTTAGCCCATGGTGTCTGCATATGTTCAATCAGCAGTACTCAAGGCAATTTATATAGTATGCACATAAATGAATGACAAAACATACCTATTAGCATTTCATACATAATCACTCCCAAAGACCACCAGTCACACAATTTGTTGTAACCAGTCTGCATGAACACCTCTGGAGCAATGTAATCTGGCGTCCCAACTGTGGAATATGCCTGCAAAGGAGTAGCTTGTCAAACCAGCATTCTTAATATATTTTTTGAAAGACATGAGTATGACTCACTACTGTAAAAAGCAATATATAGCGAAGTTAGTTTTCTAATACTTGTTTTGCATGTTTATCATGTGTAAGGCTTAAGTGATAGGTACTGAGTCAGATAATGTTAATTTAAGACATGATTTCTGCCCCCTGAAGAAGCTCAACTATTGTAAGTTATCGCTATATTTAGTCCTAAATCCATTTAAAAAAGATTAAAAAGGTTAAGCCCAGTAGGCCTGCCCTGCCCCCTCACTATTAATATGTTCTTAGGCAGGTTATTCCAGCTCTTGGAGCCTCAGCTTCTGCTTACATAAAACTGGAGTAATAACTGGAGCCTGCCTGAGCAGTTGATATGAGGATAGAACAAGAAAAAGAGTGTGCTTTGTAAATGACTACAACCTACTATAAATAAACGTCAGGTGTTTCCATTACAAACCAGATTCCAAACCACTGCTCATCCATTAGGAAGCAATTCTTAATTCATATAAAGCCTTAAAGAAAAACTACTTAAGAAAAGATCTCTCCACTAAGGGTAGTACTCTAAGGGCCATCTGAAAATGTGTGACAGCAGATTTTGTCATTTCAGTGACCTGGGGGAGAATATAATTGGCATTGGGTGGGCAGGGGATACAGGTTTGGTAGGAATTCCCTGCCCCAAATTCAATTGAGCCCCCTCTACTTCTCCCTTGGGAAACACTATGTAACTTATGATGATGGCCACACGAACAGTAAAACATGCACATAAGTAATCATCTGTAAATATTCTGAAAATAAGGGGTTACAGAATTCCCACCATTTTTAAAGCAGTGTTTATTTTTCCCTTTTAAAGTAAAAAATCAATGGTAAAATATGATCTAAAAGTGACACATTTAAAGTAGAAGGAAGTTTTTGTGGTTAATGCACAACTCAACACATTTTAAAAACATTTTTAAGGCCTTTAAAAGCATGGAAATGTTTTACTCACTCAGGAAGCTTGCAATTATGTGCTTTGGGCTGATGAGAGAATGAGCTCAATAATGCAAACGTCATTTTATTTGGTGTGAGAGGGCATCCTTGAGGGAATGCTGAATTAATTTCACTTTCATTACTTTGTTGAGTTTAATATATTTACGGAGTGTCTATATGTGTGAGGCATTGTATAGGAAATTAGGAAAACAAAGTCAAAAGGCACATTTCTAACAGTGAGAATGTTCAAAGACCTAGTTAACAGGATAAAGGAAAAGAAGGAAGGGGCAAGAGATTCTTATATTTGCAAAGTAAAAGAGGAGAAATTGTGTAGGGTTATGAATAGACAGTGTTTTTGCACATTGAAGGGATAATTTATCCGTGGCAAAGTCTGCTTTCTAATTTTATTTACTGTAGGATTGTTAACACACCAAGCTTCTTGTTTATTTTATAAAGAAGTTCTTAGAAACACACAACCCCATTACAACTGTTGACTGATATTTGTTGTATCAGGACAAGCATGGAAAATGGAAAAACAGACATCACGAGGCATTCACTACAGTTACGCTTATCTCAGTGAGTTTTACATAAAATGCCAATTACTAATAAATAGACAGATAATTTAATTATGGATATGCTTGATAAAGTACTCTAAAGTCAAATTACAAAGTAAAAATCAACACTTCACTTTATGGGCAAGGCGACATTACAGAGAAACTCAGGAAACCTGTAACTCTAGAACAAGCTCTATCATTACTGTAAAGTAAGTAATGACCCTTGTGAAAGACACAAAATATTCAAGCAAAAACCAAAGGAGGTTTTAGAACCAGAGCACAAAACTGTTTCTTAAAAATGTGGCTAACTCACCAGTTGTCTTCGATTCTTCTTCCATGTTTCTGCTTTCCTCTTGGAGTTCATATTCTGAAATGCTAATTTCAAAAAGACAGAGTTGTAATCATGAGAGAAAAACTCTCACCCCCAAACAAATTCACACATATACGTTTAAAATGCACTGGTTGCCCTGACCAGTGTGGTGCTTTTAGTTGGGCATCATCCCACAAAGCAAAGGCTGCCAGTTTGATTCTGGGTCAGAGCACATGCCTGAGTTGTAGGTTTGGTCCCTGGCTGGGGCAAATATGAACAGGCAACCGATTGATGTTTCTCTCCCACATGAATGTTTCTCTCCCTCTCTTTCTCCCTCCCTCCCATCCCCCTTCTCTAAAAAAATAAGTATTTTTAAAAAAATGCACTGGTTTAAGGAGTAAGGAGAGGGAAAGAACATTTACTTCTAAACAGTACTGAATTAGAACAGCTATACTACTTTAATTCAAACAAAAACAAACTTACAGAAGTCACTTGGTGGGTTGTGTGTAAGGTTTCTGTAGAATTCAGTTCTATGAGCTTTCTTTAATCCCGTGCATAAACCAAAATCAGATAATTTTACATGACCCTAAAAAACAAAAATGCAAAAAGAAACTAGTGAAATCAGTGGATTATATTAACTTTGAAACAAAAGCTTTTATAAACCCTTTTCAAAATTTATTATAAAAATTCTGCCCTGGCTGGCATAGCTCAGTGGATTGAGTGCGGGCTGCGAACCAAAGCATTGCAGGTTCGATCCCCAGTCAGGGCACATGCCTGGGTTGCAGGCCATGGCCCCCAGCAACCGCACATTGATGTCTCTGTCTCTCTCTTTCTCTCTCCCTCCCTCCCTCCTTCCCTGCCTTCCCTCTCTAAAAATAAATAAATAAAATCTTTAAAAAATTTATTATAAAAATTCTTAGCTTATAATTCATGCAAGTGAAATGTAATACAAATATCTGATGATTGCATCATTCTATGCAATAATGTATTATAATTTAGCAATAATAAATTGCAGTTGTCAATTCCCAGTCACAAATCAGTTCTATTACTTTTCCATAAAATACTTAGCAACCCAATCATTCACCAGTTTATTCACATGCCTTCGCATCCAACAAAAGGTTGTCTGGTTTAATATCCCGATGAATAAAACCCAACTGGTGGATCGCATCTATTGCCAGAACAGTCTCTGAAATGTAGAACTGTGTTTCCTCTTCCGTCAAGGTATCTTTCTTCATTAGCAATGTCATCATGTCACCTATAAGTGAAAAATAAGGGGAAATAGGTTTCAGGTGTCAAAAATGCCTCAAAAACTTTCTTTGTATCTATAAAATGTTGACTGATTTTTGCCTTTTCTGATCCACCCTGTATTACCTCCAACCATCTCTAGGGCCAAATAAAGAGTATCATTGCATAAGCAGAAGTTTTATGGTATTTAATAGGTTTTAGATAGTATATAAAATCAAATTGAAGCAGAGATATAACAAAGTTATATCCATCACTTGACTTCCAGAATAAGTTGCTGAGAAAAACATGTCAAATTGGAAAATAAGTCAATAAGCACACCCAGAAGTGGGATATATTCTTTGAAATTCAAGTTTCAAAAACACTCAGGGCTCTTTGGGCTAGCAAAAATAGGACACCATTCCACTAAGAGACTCACCTGTAGACATTCTTTATTTTCAAGGGATTATTTTCTTTAAAAGGAGGTAAAGAACAAACACTGGTGAACTTACAACTCAAAATTGACAACTGTCAATATATTTTCACAATGCTTCAAGAATTCTTAAAAAAAAAATAACAGAAATATTCTTTGTCCTCCGTTCCCATTCTATTCCTTTTTCCCTTTTTGCTGAGTAATCCATTATCATGCATTTGGTTTGATGTGTATCCTTCCAGCTTATTTTTAAAATGTGTTTTCATATACAATACTTACATATTAATCTATGGACTTGTAGTCTTTTGTAGGTTTTTTTTAAATTACAAAAATGGTATCAACTGTACAAATAATCATACAGCTTGCTTTATTACTCCGCTCTGTTTCTGAGATCTCACTGTTGAAACAAATATAGCTCCTGACTTTTAAGTACTGTAAAAATGTCATCACATAATTATGCCACATCTTATTCATCCATTCTCTCATTGGTAGACATTTATCTTGCATCCAGTTCTTCACTATTATGATGATGCTGCAATGAGCATCATTTTACAGGTCTCTTGTACATGGGTGTGGGGGGAGTCTGTAGACAATACAGCTGGTTGTGGAATTGTGAGGCTGCAGGACATTTGTATCTTCCACTTCACTGCTGTGGATGAACTGCTCTCCATAAGAGTTATAATTTATATAAATGAGAGGCCAGTTTCCCCACAGTCCCATCTGACTTCTAATGTTTTCACTAATCAGATGAGTGTGAAATTTGCATCTCCCTGAATACAGGTGAAGCTGAACATTTTCCTATATATTTACAGACTAGTTCTCTTCGGTACATTGTCTATCATTTGCCCGTGGGGTGTCTTTTTCTTTAGTGACTTGTTCTTAATTCTGGACTTAAAACATTCTAACTAATTATGTACAGTAAACCCAGAATGATAGTACTTAAAATGTGCCAACTTTATCATCCCTTCAAAATAATCTGATTCGTGGTCAAAATTAGCATTATTATGGGAGCAACCATTGGAAAACCATGCCAAACTATGTGTGACCTCAGAGCTAGGAACATACAAGTAAAGCCTATCAACGAAAGCGTAATCACACACAGTGGTTTGCTCGAGTCAGTCTGTCAGTGCTGTTTCGTTTGCTTTTACCTCCAGGGAGAAACTCCATGATAAGATAAAGGTTCCTCTTATCTTGAAAACTGTAAAACATCTTCACCACCCAGGCACCATCTGCTTCTACCAAAATATCTCTTTCTGCTCGAATATGAGCCACCTAGATGAATGCATTTTGAAAAAATAATTGTAACACATTACACATTTTTCAAGCTTACCTCTTACAATTATCCATCCATTTCCTTAGAAGTCACGAAGGAAAGCTGGAGTTTTAGAAAAGATTTGAAACATATATGCATGTTCATATTCTCATTAAATATGGAGAATCTCAGGAAATTGTTTTTAGCTTATATCTTTAGGCCTAAAAAAGTAGGATCCACAGGTGTATCAGAGGAAGCTCAGGCCTCTGAAGTACAAAGATGAGTAGTCTAAAACCTTTCTGACAAGATTCTCTACCTGGGCAAGGATCCTGGCTTTGTTGTATAAATTTAGGGCCCTCGCCTGACTTTTAAAAATTAATAGTAAGAAATGCTCTATAAATTGGTATGGTAATTGCTAAAGTCAGGGTCCTTAGCAAACTTTTTAACCGTTAGTAGTCAAACAAAGGACTGTCTTGGTCTTTAACCAATTTGGTTGTTGTCTTAAGCAGAAACGTTTATAATAACTTTATATTATTTTGTTATAACCTAAAACTTCTATAATATCTATAAACATGATCTATAACAATTTAATGTAATTTTGGGGGGTCGCTACTGACTTTTGTCAGATGCACAATTACTAGGGGTCCATTTTATAGGCTGGAATATTTTATAAACAGTAATTTGTGGAGTTCTTATAACCAACTTTCAGGTGTTTTTACATTAATATATTTTTATGTTCTTTCTTGAAAGACTAACAGTAAGAATTGATTTTATGCTTTTGCTATATACATTGTGCACCGTTATGGAGTCAGGCTCAAAGCAGATGACAACACAGAATTTGTAGAGCTTTTCACGTTAGTAAAATATCTGCTTAAAATATTCCATTTGAGATTATTTTATTGTCTAGTATGATAAATGCTCTAAGACCAAAGCAAAAGAATAAAGTTGAAAACTAAGAAATCATTTTCTGGCATCAAAAACTTTATAATCTCTCTGGATTTGTTTCAAAATTCTTACCCACTGTCTTTTACAAAGCAGTCTAGGATGGTAGAGGAAAAACCTTAAACTTTTCGCGTTGCCTCTGGTATTGTCAGGAAAAACAACCACACTGCCAACCTGGCTTGGTTATTTTTAAGTATCTTAAAGCCAGATGACAAGAGTATGTTCTCAAATGGGCCCATATTCCAAAGAACAGCAAGTGCCATGCACAGTAATCTGGTACCACAGCAGTGAAGACAGAAGTTGCCACTTAATTTTGTGGGGTAATTAGTATTAAACTAAATGAGATAAAAACTTAATGATGCATTGAAATTGAGTGGGGAAAAGATGTTCTAAAATGAAATTCAATTCAAATGCAGATTTATTTACACAGGAGGAAACCAACCCCGAAGTGCAGAGTCCCACTGAAACCACCCCTGCACAGGAACAAAGAGTGGTGACGGGCTCTTCAAAGTGTGGCAAAATATTCTACACCACATCTGTCCAGTAGAAATATAATGCAAGTCACACGTAATTTAAAATTTTCCAGGAGTCACATAACAAGTAAAGACAAATAGGTGAATTTTTTAAAATAATAAAGTTTAAAAACTTCATATATCTAAAATGTTTTCATTTCAGTATAACCAATATAAAATTATTGAAATATTTTACACTCTTTAATACCAAGTCTCCAAAAGCTGCTGTGAATTTTCCATCTGTAGCACATCTCAATTCAGACCAGGTACTTTTAAGTGCCCAATATTCACATGTGGCTAGTAACTAAAGATGACAGCTGGACCTCACTGCGGCGTTTTCCCATTAAAAGCCTACCCAGGACTAACCCCAGTGTCGCCGGTTAGATTTCAGTTTATCTCCTTGTCTCTAAAGCTCTGCACCTTGACCCAGACACCTATTCCCTTCATTATCTGTAATCCTCCAGTACAACTCTATCTCAACTTTCTTGCCTTCCAAACCCTCTGCAATCAATCTGTCTTAGACAAAATCACCTGATCTCTGGATGGTTCCTATCACCTTCTCATCCTAAATGAAACCAGGCTGTCTGTCTACTACTGAGAGTTCTGTCATCCTGCAGACTGAGTTCTCAAGAAGGGCCTGCTTTTCTCTCACATGTTGCTGGTGAGGGGCTGGGTTTCCTACTCATTTCCTGGCTGCTCCTGAACCACTGTGACACTTCCCTTCTCTCCGGCTCCCGTGAAGCAGGTGCTGAAGCAGGCCGCATCAGCCATCGTCCTTCTTCACAGCTGTCCTTTACAGAACTCCTGGCCAACCACCCTCAGTCATGACTTCAGCTCCTGGCTCACCACTTCCCAGGGGTGAACCATTCAATACCCTAGCTGCACAGTGCCTTGACTGCCTCACCTCCAATGATCTTTTTCCCTGCTACCCCTCAGCCACCCGTGGCAGGCCTTCTTGTCTTTCTCGCCACCAATAATCGTCTCTCCTCTAAAATCTCAACTTTAAGGAACTGTTTCTGATCTCCACCTTTAACCTTCCAGGGTCTCTTATTCTTATACTTCAATCTGCATTCCATGGACCCTACCACCTTTTCTCTAGTACTCTCCTCATTACCTCATTCCTTTCTCTACCCAGCCTAGATTCCATCATTTCAATCACTCCCTTGCAAATACCTTAACTTCCCTTGTCCTTCTCTCCCTCCATTGTATTTGCCTGGCCAAACCCCAACCCTAGTTAACCTCAATTTTCTGTCCACTGCCCCAGAGCAATTAAGTATTACCTAGGGAAAATCACCTAATGATACCACTGGTTTCACTTGACATTCACGACTGCAAATCTCAGTGGCCATTTAACTGTACTCCCCTAGCATGTCTGCTTTCCCACATCACAACTCGATAGTTGTGACTATTTCACACCTTCCCTCTCCTTACACCTCCTACAAGTGACCTTCCTCCTTTATGCCAAGCTGATGACCTCACTTATTCATACTCAGACAGAAACTTGACATTTTATTACACTCTCAGATCAACCACCCTGCATTTTGCTCTAATTTTCTCTGCTTTTCCTTCCTATTTTAATGAACCCGTCCCTCCTCCTATCAAAGATCAACTCCTGTCTTCCAGTGCATTCCTATACTCATCTGCCCTCTCTCTCCTGCACCGTCAACTTTCCTCTTCCTAATGGGTTCTCCCAACCAGCATGAACCATTCCCTATCAAGAAAAAAATTATGTATATATATACATATGTGTGTGTGTGTATATATATGATAGTAGCTGCATGCCCTCCACTTTACCAATCTGTTTTTCGTTCTGCCTCACATGATTTATCTATACTCACTATCTCCATTCCTCAATTCCCATTTTCTTTGCCACTAGCCCAATTAGGCTTTTGACCTCTAGTACATTGGGAATTGTCCTTGCCAAGTTATTAAGAATCTCCACACTATGACATCTGTTTTCAATAGCTGTCTGCCTATTTTCCTCACTCCTATAAAAGAACAAGGATCAGGTTTGTCCTGTTAACTGCTGTATTCCCAGAACCTAGAACATACACATACTTGTTGGATGAATGGAATAGAAATAAAAAGAATGCAGTGAGAATTCAAATGGACCCTATTTAAATAAAAATTAATATTATATTGCTATAATAACAAAATAAGCTTCAGTCCTGGCTGGTGTGGCTCAGTGAATTGAGCACTGGCCTGCAAACCAAAGAGTCACCAGTTCAATTCCCAGTCAGGGCACATGCCTGGGTTGCAGGTCAGGTCAGGTCAGGTCCCCAGTAGGGGGCATGCGAGAGGCAACCACACATTGATGTTTCTCTCCTCTCTCCCTTCCCCTAGTCTAAATAAAAAAATCTTTTTTAAAAAAGTAAGCTTCAGGTGAGCACTAGAGGACTGAAACAAATCATTACGTACAGAGTGGCATCATTGCCCTCTCTACCCCCACGGTGGAAACCTTCTCTGGCACATATGTTCAATTTAGGGTTTTCCAGAGTGTCTACCCAGACTGGAAACCCAGGTGAATGCATAAAATAATACTACTGACGCTTTCAGATTTATGGCTGCCGCATAAACTGCATTAAGTCACAGGAAACAAAAAGAGAGCCCAGGAGTATGAAATTAGAGTGGTTACAGATTTTGGAAACACATAAAATCAAAATCAGTAAATTCTCAGGAAACTGGTCTCTACGTTTGATATGCGACAGGGATTGAGGGTACTAAGAACTATCTTTTTTTCGCACTGAAGTCAGAAAAGGAGGTATTTTACTATGGACTGAACGTTTGTATACCCCCCAAATCCCCATGATAAAGCCCAAATCCTGAGTATAACTGGACTTAGAGATGCAGCCTCTAAGGAGGTAATTAAAGTTAAGCAAGTTCAAGGGCGGGGGGAGGGGGGAGTCGGGTGCCTTATAAGATAAGACATCAAAGAGTTTTCTCTCTTTCTCTCTGAAAGCTAGAAGAGAGCCCTCACCATAAACTGAAACCTGGCAGAACCTTTATTTTATACTTCTACCCTCCAAAACTGCTAAAATAAATTTCTGTTATTTAAGTCACCTAGTCTGTGCTATTCTATTATAGCAGCCTGAACAAGCTAATGCATATTTAGATTAAAAATCTAGAAAATATGTTACTATAAGAATTGAGAAACAATGAAACAGTCTATCACAAAGTTAATAGATTATATAGTAAGATGTGTAGGTTTCTTTTAAGAAATTTCAACCTCAGCACCTCCTCTAATACCTCATCTGTGGATGTTCCATTAGTTAACATGTTGAAGAACATACCTGCTCTTTTTCAAGCATATCAGCTTTTCTCAGTATCTTCATTGCATAGATATGGCCTGTGTCCTTCTTCTGGACCAGCCGCACCTAGAATGCAAAGATTGATCACATTAATAAATGTTAAACAGTCGCTACTACTTATTTAGGAGAAACTGTTTTAAAGAAAACAGTGTTGTGATTTGCCATTCATGGTATTTAAGGAATTCTATGCAAATTAAACTATTTTAACACATATTAAATTATTATTATTATTTTTAAAGATTTTATTTATTTATTTTTAGAGAGGGAAGGGAGGGAGATAGAGAGAGAGAAACATCAATGTGTGGTTGCTGGGGGTTATGGCCTGCAACCCAGGCATGTACCCTGCCTGGGAATCGAACCTGCAACACTTTGGTTCGCAGCCTGCGCTCAATTCACTGAGCTACGCCAGCCAGGAACACATATTAAATTATTTTAACCCATCTGAAGATATATGCTTTCAATGGCAGTGACTTTAAAAAAGAACCACACCTCTCCAAATGCTCCTCTTCCTATAACTTTCAGAGACTCAAAGTCGTCCAAGCCAAGTCTGGTCCTCTTGAGTCGTAAGAACTCTGTTTCCTTGCGGGCATGTTGTGATCGGCGTAACTTTTTCTATTAAAACAACAACAACAAAAGACAGTTTAAAAAGATGACTTTAAAATCAGATTGTTTCAAAGGAAACCTACAGCATTAAAAGGAAAGACACATAAAAATGGGGGTGAAGTACCTTATATTATTATATACTGGTGCTACAACTTATTTACCAAAATCAGGTATTTATTAAGCATAGAAAGAATAAAACAATCTAAGGAAAATTTTTTTTAAAAATTAATAATGGATAAATCTATATTCTTGAGGTACACTCCATTAAATATTTCATGTTAACTAACTCATCATATTCATTCATCTATGTGCTAACTTAATTCAAAAATAAAATTAAACTTTAGGAAATGCTAATAGTATTCTGATACTGACTTTTACTGTCCAGAAATCTACTTTGCTTCAGTTCGCTAAATCCCAAGGTTGCTGTCACAACTACTGAGACTTATGACACCAAAAGAGCACAACCGAGTTTCCATAGAGATTTACTTAGGGCAGAATTTATTCTTGGACAAATTTTAACAAACTGCATGAGACTTAGCACACAACTTCCTGAAAATATGAAATTGTAACAAAATAGTTACACAAGTAATTCATTAACATATTCAAGTCAGGAATTTCATAATTCATTCTCTGGAGATCACAAAAAATAACTAGCATTAATAAGAAACATTATGAAATACCTTCAGGTTACATTTGCAATGGGCATTTGTTTCACTGTTCTATTGGATTGGCCAAAAAGTTCTTTTTTTTTGTTTTGTTTTTTTTGTTAGATGGCTCTAGTAACACTTGGTTGTCATTAATTTCATTGAAAACAATTTTGTTCCATTGTATTGTGACAGCTGTCATGTCTGTGCATTAAAAAACGTACCCACATAGGTGAATTTTTGAGTAACCGTTTTAATACTAAAGATGGAATAAAATATGCAACATTTTCAGCATCTTATGCTTCATTATTTCAAGAAAGGTAAAAACACAATTGAAACGCAAAAAAAAAAAAAAAGGATTTGTGCAGTGTATGCAGAAGGTGCTGTGACTGAACGAAGGTGTCAAAGTGGTTTGTGAACTCTAGTGCTGGAGATTTCTAACTGGATGATGCTCCATGGTCAGGTATACCAGTTGAAGCTGATAGTGATCAAATTGAGACATTAATTGAGAACAATAAATGTTATACCACATGGGAGATGGCTGACACACTCAAAATATCCAAATCAATAAAGTTATTGGTGAAAATGAAAAAAATGTGTCTTTTATTTCATGGAAAAAAAAAAAAAACACCATGCAGACATTTTGGCCTATCCAATATATTTCGTTTCCCCCCTCACCAAATAAAATTCTGTTTTTCAACACATCTCCTAGTAGAGGTAACAGAGGGGGAATAAACAAAATCAGTGAAAAAAATTAAACCCCTGGTTTAAATCTTTCAAATCTTTGAAACCCCATCAAGCTTTCAATGGTTCAGTTCTAAAGAAGAGACAAGTCAAAATAACCACAAAACTTCAGAAACCTAAATGCAGCTCAAGTTGTAACTATTAAATAGTTGTTCCCGACCCTTGTATATATGTTTTCAAAAGGGTAAGGTCAACTATTAATTAGAAATATGTAAATATGTATATCAATGCAATGGAATTCTGATACTTCTAAAGTTAATCTAAGGAGAAAATTAAGAAATTATGTCTTCAATTTAAAAAACATCTTTAAACAGCTAATGAAGTTACACACTCAGGCACATAAATTCTGGAAACACTGAATACTATTTTTTTTTGTTCAAAAATACCTTTTGAATAACAGTTTAAAAAACTGAATTACTAAGTAAAACAAAAAAATTAAGAAAGTAATTTTAGATGTTAAGACTATAATTTGAAAGGCCACATGGTGGCAGTGTAGGACTGTCTTTCAAAGTAGTAAAGAGTGAGGTTCCCCTTTAATGACATAAATGAATTACAAGTAAGAATTTTGAGAGGCCTTCTAAATTTCTGACTTGGATTATAAAACAATACAGTGGGATATAGCTTCAGAAACTTGTCTAATCTGAATGAAAAAGATGACTTAGTTTCATAAATTACGCTCAAAATTGAGAGAGGCAGGCAAAAGAAACTGTTTATTAATATCGGTAGGTTGTGTAATAATATAGCAAGTAAACATTGTTTATGTGTGGGAGACAGCTATTTAATAGTAAAAAAGGAGCATCCCAAGTAATCTTACAAAAATCTATTCCATGATATTAATCTAAATCTTAAAAGTCCATATTATATAGTTCAGAGGTAGCTAAAGAAAATGTATCTTTAAAAAATTTATGGAAAAAAAAGCATGCTGACATATCTGGTCATAACTTATATTAATTAGATTGTCTTGAAAAAGAAATATTTTTGTGGTAATCACATCTTTCCAAGGAAAACATCAAAAATCTGTGTACAAGGTTAATATTTCATGGCTCTCTTTTGTGGCTTGAACTTGCCTATATTGGTTTTCCATTGGAGTAAATAATATCCCATGTTTAATGGGATTTTTCTAACTTCAATGAAGCTAAAAGTATATCACTTTCTTCCATTTTCCAGTCCTTCTTAAATAGGCGTTCCTCAAACTCTCAACCTGCAGGGCGCTGAGCTTTTGTACAAGACAGTGTGCACAGAAGTCTGGGCACGTAACAGGCGTGGCTAGCACCTCTGCCTCAGGATGTGTGCTTTTCATGGCTATTATCTCACGGCTTCGTTTTCACAAGTAACTTCCGCGGATAATTTTCTATTACAGAATGAGTTAAAGATGAACACTGGCTTTCATTAGAAAAAAAACTAGATTCTTATTTTAATTAAACATAAAGATAGTTCTAACAATTTTTATATTAGGTTGAAAAAGTATGTCTTTTTTATAAAATTTGACATAATGTAAGACCTCACCTAAGGCCCACAATAATCATTTGTGAAATTAAAATATCTTTACTGAAAACTGTTAGTTTTATAAATGGTTATGATGGGCCATTGACTATTCTCTGGGAAAAAAATTATCTCACAGTTTCTACAAGTTATTTAGAAGAGTTAAAGAAAACAGTTCTAACGTGCTCAGTACCCTGGTGCAGACGAGAGGCAAACTGGAGGCTACACACTGTATTCAATTCACAGTGTATCCGACTTGGCCTGCAGCAATTTGTAAAAATTAGGATTCATGTTAATCTTGTAAAGAGCAAGTGATGTCACATAAAAGTCCAGATTTCCAGCTTCTCTTGAAAAACACCAGGCCAGTAGAGACAGCCCCCTTTTGAGGGGTGTGGGTTCGGTCTTCCCCACTGACACCAGTCAAATGCAGGGAGGCTACCAAAATGAGAAGACAAAGAAATAAGGACCAAAAGAAAAAACAGAACAAAATTCCAGAAAAAGAACTACACAAAATGGAGGCAAGCAATCTATTAGATGCAGAATTCAAAACATTGGTTGTTAGGATGCTCAAGGAATTCATTGGGTAGTTCAACAGCATAAAAAAGATCCAAGCAGAAATGAAGTTACACTAAGTGAAATAAAGAAAAATTTACAGGGAAACAACAGTGGAGTGGATGAAGTCGAGAATAAAATCAATGCTTTTGAACATTGATGGGGGACTCAAATGTTGGAAAAAATTTAGTTTCTGGTAATAGCTAATAAGCTTAGCAATCAATGAATGTAAAAAGCTACTGTTCCAGGAACTGAAGGTATGATCCACTCTGACTCCAGGAGACCATAAGCAGTTCCACCTCTGTGCTTCAGGGGGATGGGGAGCAATTCAAGATGGCATCTGAGCCAAGTTGTGCTCCAGGGTGAGATGTCCACCGCCCAGGGCACAGATGGAAGAATGTAGCAACTTTTATCTGATTAACTTTTTCCTGAATTTCAAACCCCTTACCTACACTTTTCTTCTTATAAAAAGGGCCTGTTTAAAATGAAATTTAAGATGGTCTGTTAGGGTACATAACCTGCCATCTTCTCAGGTCACCAACCATCTGAATAAAGTGCCCATAAAGACTCAATTCCTGCCTCTGCTTCTTGGGTCTGGAAGGTGACAGGCACTATTAACACTGGCTTTTCCAGTTTCAACATAAAGAAAAAAAATTCAATCAAAATGGTAAGAAGAAAAATATTCCAAAAACAAAAATGAGAATAGGATAAGAAGCCTCTAGGATGTCAAAAGTACCAACATCCAAATCATAGGGGTGCCAGATGGAGAAGAGAAAGAGAAAGAAATTAAAGACTTATCTGAAAAAATAATGAAAGAAAAACTCCTTAATTTGGTGAAGTCCAGGAAGCACAGAGAGTCCCAAACAAGATGGAAACAAAGATGACCACACCAAGACACATCATAATTAAAATGCCAAAGGTTAAAAATAAAGAAGGTATCTTAAAAGCAGCAAGAGAAAAGCAGAGAGTTACCTACAAAGGAATTTCCATAAGGCTGTCAGCTGAGTGCTCAAAAGATTCTCTGTAGGCAAGAAGGGACTGGCAAGAAGTACTCAAAGTGATGAAAAGCAAAGACCTACAACCTAGATTACTGTATCCAGCAAAGTTATCATTTAGAATTGTAGGGCAGATAAAGTGCTTCTCAGACAAGATAAAACTAAAGGAGTTCATCATCACCAAGCCATTATTATACGAAATGTTAAAGGGACTTATTTAAGAAAAAGAAGATCAAAACTATGAACATTAAAATGGCAATAAATCCACAACTACCAACAACTGATTTTAAAAATAAACTAAGCAAACAAGAAGAACAGGAACCGAATCACAGATATGAAGATCATTTGGAGGGTTATCAGTTGGGAGAGGAAAGGGGAAGAATGAAGGGAAAGATACAGAGATTAAGAATAACACATTGGTAGGAAAAGAACAGACAGGGGGATGTTATAAACAGTATTGGAAATAGATTAGCCAAAGAACTTATATGTATGATCCATGGACATGAACTAAGCGGGGATTGCCAGAAGGAATGGGGGTACTGGGTAGAAGGGGGCAAAGGGAGCCAAATTGGGACAACGGTAATAGTATAATCAATAAACTATATTTAAAAAATTAAGCACTTTATAAATTCTTCTCTGATCATTGGAAACTGTCACACTAACCGATCTAGGTTGTATCTATCTCCCCATTGCCTAGAAAACAAAAAATAAACCATACATTTCTTAGTAAACTATTCCAAGCCTAGCTTTCCATTATGTGCTGTCAATTTACCTTGCTATTTCCTTTACTGCACCCTTTATTCATTAACCTGCACATACACGGTCCAGCACAAATAGTATCCTTTTTATTACACAATCTTTCATTACAAAGTCGTAAGCATGTAATTCTGTAACATAACAACATCACACTCCAGCACACCATTATGACATTTCAGGTGAAATGTTCAAATTGCTGTCCATCTCACACAAGACATCCACATACCCTACCCACCACATTCAAGCAAACCTTACTCTGCCAGTCCCTGTGTATTCATCATTTTGTATATATACCTCAACTCTTATGTAAATTCTAACTACTTTATTAAGATTCAAATCAACTGTTACATCTTCCATGAAACAGTTTCTGATTCCCCTGAATTAGGGGGAAAAAATCTCCATGTTTTTAAAAATTTGCCACATTCTATCATATATACATTTTACACACACACCCACATGTAATTTGCCCTTCTGATCTGTAAACTCCTGAGGAGTCCATCATTGTTCGTGAAATATTTATTCTAGCCCTCTGCCAGCTTTGGAGATGTAATGCTAAATAAGTCATTGTGGAGATTCTGCTCTGAGAAGATGGTATTTTAGGGCTACCACAGGGGCATTGTTATGATAGATGTAGGGGTACCTCAAGGGATTAGGGAAGATTTCTCTGTGGACGTGATGCTTAAACTGAGACCTACAGCTTCTTGAAGAATGATGGGAGTGAGGCAGGCGTAAGGAGGTTCTAAGCAGCAGAAATAACATGTGAAATGGTCCATGGGCAAGAGCATGGAAGTTAAAGTAATCTAGTATGTTGGTCAGGAAGGGGGTGAGGTGACAAGAGGTGAGCCTATGGAGAGAGGCAAAAGCCAATAAGGGATCTTGTATACCTATGGCAAAGTGGTTGCTCTTACTCTGAGAGCTCTCACAAGCCAATGAAGGACATTTAGCCAAAAAGAGCGATGTGATATGATTGTTTTTAGACAAATAACTCTGGCTGTAGTGTGCAGAAAAAGTAGGTGGGAGTGCAGTCAAGGATAGAGGAAGAAAGACGAGTTGGGGCAGTTATTCTTCTGGTGGAGTATATAACAGTGTAAACTAAGGTAGTGACACTGGACCAGAGAACTGGATGGCATTAGAAAAAAGTTTGAGAAGATTTGGCAATTGATTGGTTCTTCTTGGGAACCTCTTTTCTCATTCCATCATCCTCGAATACTGCAGATACTGTTCATTAAATTTCTGTTCTTGGAATTTAAAAAAAAAAGCTGCTTCCTTTTAAAAGATATCCATCATAACAACAAAGGAACAAGTCCACATTCAAACAATGAAATACATGTCATCGAAGTTGTAAACTCATCTGACATCAATAATGTCAAGTCACTGGGGCTGCTTTTGTACAGTAAGTACTGACTTCCCCCAGCTTCATTCAGAAACAAATGATACCCAACACTGCGTAAGGTTAAGATATACAAGATGATGATTTGACCCACTCAGATACTGTGAAACAATTACCACAGTAAGGCTGGTTACTATGTCCATCACCTCACATAACTATTTTTTTTTGTGGTGAGAACACTGAAGATCTGCTCTCCTCGCAGTTTTCAAGTACATAACACAGGCTGTTAACTACAATCCCAGTAATTACAGCCAACATTACCTCTTCATCTGCTAATCCTTCTTCTTCCATGGCCACTTCTAATTTCTTCTGCCTTAACAAAAAAATAATAATTTAAATTTTAAATACATTCCTAACTATTCCCATTTTAAAAATATATTTATTCAAGCTTACCACTTCAATTTGTTATGCTAAAAAAATCTTTCAAGCTCACTCAAAATAATCATTAAGTATAGTTTTCTTTCTCAAAATATAAACCCAGTTCAGATTTAGCTTTCTCATATTGGTCAAATAACATTTACTTCTAAAATTGCCTAAATGAATTGTTCACAAAGGTGACTAATATTCTAAAAAGGAAAACTCTGTTATCTAATGTTCAAACCACCAAAATAATTAATATTTATCAGGTTTATATTACACATATATAAAGGTAACTATAGTGACTAGAAGTCTAAATTTTTAAGGTGTATATCCATTTAAATCCTGATTCTAATTCTTACTTGCTAAATGAGCTTGTTTACATCCTTCAGTTAAAGTCTAAGCTTCATTTCTTTTTTTCTTTTTTTAAGCTTCATTTCTTAATCAAGGAAAGATGTTTAATGCAACTGGGCATATTTTATCCTATTATAATTCTTTATAAATTAGAAAGTCATCTATGTATATAAAAAGTAATCCATTAACTACCAGAACATTTATTTTTCAAGGTATAGCCCAGTTCAGTTATTCATTATTTTTAAACGGCGTCCCTGAAGTTGGTTAAGCTAAGTGTTGTGGGGTGGGGCAGATGGTGGCAGGACAGGACACATGAACTAGTAACTAGAGAAATGGTTGTGGTACAAACTTTGCAACTCATTTCCAAGTGAATATTAAGTATTTTATTTCTATTGAATTTGTTTTTCCTAAGGATAAATCTGACTGAGTTCTTCCTAATTAGTTTTGGAGTATGCTACAATAAGAATAACTTTCTAGTATTTATCCACATGGGGATAGGATTGAGAATTGAAACTATCACACACATTGCTTGGTATTTTTTATAACAGTATGCCCAAAAGTAAGTTCTTTCCTAATTCACTTTCTTTCTTTCTTTAGGAAAATTCCTAGCAGAAATGTCTAAAGCCCATTCATAAATTAGCACCCAAATGGAAAAGATAAGACCTAATAACGTATTCTTTCCCGCTTCCTCAGCATTTGTAATAGGTACCTTGCTGCTTACCACACTGACTTTTATCTTTTGTTTACATATTATTCCCCTAAGCCCAACCTTAGAGAGGAATAAGCACCTAGCATCATGCATCTCTGGACACTGCAGAGCTGCTTGTTGAATGATTTCTGAGTTATCCCCTCTGCAGAAAGAATCCAAAGAGTAAGAGGACCATTCATCTGGAAGGGATAGCAACATACAAGCAACTCTGTTCCTCTGTCAAATCTCTACTGCCCCCTTTCCTTGCCGAGACTGACACTTCATCAAAGCATCCTTCATTCAGGGGGCTGAGAAAGTAACTTTCATTTGTTTGCACCTTAACTAAGCAGGAACACCTATGACTTTCTTTCACTGTTTTAGAAAGTCGTTTTCCTCCTAAAATGCTCTGACATTTTGTTCTTTCATTGGTACTTTATTTGGCTTATGTATTTTTCCATTTAGTTAGGCCTTATAAATTTATCACGTTTTCTTAACATGTGAACAGTTTTTTTTACTATATATATTTTAGTATTAATTATTTTAATAATGCAGTAATTTTTTATCTTATTTTTTCAACTACAGTTAAAATGCAGTATTATTTTGTATTAGTTTCAGGTTTACAGCAAGGTGCTTAAACAATGTCGTAACTTTACAAAGTGCAGTATAAAGTGCAGTATAAACTGGCAGTGCTTCTATGGCACTGCTGAGCTGAGACCTTTTTTTTTTTTAAATAGCAGCAGATACTTTGCTTCTTACTCTCCTTTGTTTGGAAATCTATAGGTCTCTCTTTCCTGGGTGCTCTTCTACTTTGTTCACGCTCCCTTGATGATTTGATCACTTCCAGTGCCTTTCATTACACTGACAATTAGTGTAATGACTTATATACTTCAATTTATTTCTAACTTATTTTGTGGTTTCTATTTGTGTCCACTATTTGGTATTTCAGTTTTTTGTTTTCTCTTGCCTTTTATGAACTGATTTGCCCCCTCATTCCACTTTTTTCCTTCTACAATTTTGGAAGTTACAAACTTTATTTTTATTCTGTTAGTGGCTACCCTAGAAAATTACAAATACACTTAATTTGTCTAAGTCTGAAATTAATCTTTACCCCATGTTATATTGCTACATGTATCTACTCTAGAGATACAAAGACATCTAAGAACACTTTAATCCCACTTCCCTCCTGACTGATAGTCGACTACTAGAAAATATTTCAATTCTATTTTTAAAAAATGCTTAAGACATCATCATTATTATTGTTATGGTTTTTACACAGTCGATTTTTGTTGGAGTTTATCCATCCATTTACATTTAAATCTGTTTGTAATCACTTTCTTTCTGTCTAAATTCAACCTTTTGGAATTTTTCCCAGTGACGAACTCTTCTTAGTTTAACTTGCCTCTGCTCCATCCTCTTTCCTCTCTGCCTTCAGGAACTCTGATTAGAGGTATGTCAGCTTTTCTCACTAGTCCCTGTGTTTAACTCTTTCACATTTTCTTACTCTGTCTCTCTAGGTGGACTTCTAAATAGTTGTTTTACCTTCTAGTTCTAATTCTCTCCTCAGCTATGTCTAACCTGCAGTGAGACCTGTTCAAAAGAAGTTCGAAACCTGATTCTTCTTTTCCAGTCCTATTTCACTAAAGTTGCACCACTCTGTTTGCCCAGGCATGACATTTTAGAGCCAGTATTGACTTGTTTCTCTCACATTTCATATTTGGCTAGTTTCCATGTCCCCCCCCCCCATCTTTCTCACCCGTCAATTCTTTTCTATTGTTGCTGTCACAATCCTAACTCAAGTCTCCTTTCTAAATATTTGCCTGGACGGCATCACTAGCCTTTCCTGTTTCTAATCCCTCCTCCCACAGTCCATTCTATACATCACAACTGAAGTACTCTTCTAGAGAAACACCTGTGATCATTTGATCCTTCTATTCAAAACTCATGCAGGCCTACTACCCTGAGAGGAGCCACACTAACAAAGCATCCAAGGCTCCCAGGAAATGCTGACATCCAGCTTCAGCTGCACTGAACAGTGCCCGACCTAGCACTGAGGGCGATTTCTTCTGTCTCTAATACCCTTTTTTACTTTTACCCTCTTTTACTTTTTTCTTCTCCCTTTGATGTATGTATCAACAGGACTTTTTCTTTAGAGCCCTGTTTAACGCCACTACCATTTATACAGCCCTCCCAGTTGCCTTAGACAAAAGCAATCTCTCTTCACTTTTCTCTTAGCAACACTTTTCACTCTTTCATGCAGTATATATGTGCATTACCTCTCTTACTGTATTTTCCTGAAGGTAAAACAGCATGTCTTTCATTTTTAATTCTACCATTCCCACTTATGTGTACACAACACCATAAATGTTTTTGGATTAAAGTCAATTATTCATAATGCATCTGTCTAAAAGCAAGTAAAAAGCTATATTGTAATTTCATGGTTGGAAACATTTTGTTTAAAACATCAACTGACATTTGAAATAAGTATATGGGTGTACAGCACAAGAACCTATTCTGCAAAAATAAAACAAAGCACTAGGTCCACTGTCCGTATAAGGAAAACAACACAGGAATCTACAGTATTTATATTATCATGAGCAACATGTTTACACTGCACTCAGAGCATTACCAGCTTATTTAATTAAACAGAATGTTTTGACTAGCCTTCACTATACCTGGTTTCTCTCTCTTCATGCTGTAAAATTAGGTTGCTGTAAAAGTTCTCCAACGTGAGCTTGGCCACAGTCACTCTCTCCCGGGTATGGTTGCTCATGGGGAAGGTGGCTGTAGTCCCTGCCGTCATTGCCATAGCAACAGAAACTGAAATAACATATAAACACAAGTCATTCAGTGAGAAAAAAACTTTTTTCCCTTTTAACAAACTCTAGAAATGGTTTAATTTCTACTAAAAAAATGATATCCCAACAGTTAAGATATCCGTTATTTCACATTATAAATAATATAGTAATACGATACTAGTAAAGAAAGAAAGGTGCACTATTCCCAGGGCAACAGATATTGATTTTGTGTGCTGGCAGAACGAGGGGTGAACAATGAATGGTAAGGAAGCACCAGTGTCAGTCCATGCTCAACACGAATGCGTTTACATAGAAAAGGCTGTATTCATCAAGCATTCAAAACAAGAAAGGTTCAATCTATGTCGTTGCTGTTTTATTGATTACTAAGTAAAATCCACAAGGTTTTGCTAATCTTCTGTCACCAATAAATGCAAATCTTCTAAGAGTTAACGTGGTTTAAATAGAAAGAAATGGCTTCTGCTCTATGAATTTTATGAAACATGAAGTGTTCCATCAATAAGCACACAAATATCAGTCTGAACCAATTCTTGTGGGTATATGTTTTACGGGAAAATACTTTTAGAGAAAAGCCCCTTTGGCTGGAGTCCATGGTTGCCCCATTTCATTCCAAATTCTGTCATTTCCAATAGTACTATAACAAGGTCCAGTGTACTTTTCCAAACTATGAGGTCCATTTCATTTTCAAATGACACTCAAATGGCTGTAGAAACCAGGCAGGAAACACAAATGTGAATCAAGCCAGGTGACAATAGGGAACTTTTGTGTACATTTACTTAAAGCTATTCAGAGCCACCTTTGAAAAACCACTGGGACAGCCACACAAAGTACTGGTTTGAAGAAGATGACCTGGACAATTAGACAAGATAAGGAATGTAACAAAAAGGCTACTTCACAGGGGGACAGATTAAACTCTAGTGGCTACTCTGGTGGGCAGTGATCATAAGAAATATGCCTACCACAATTTACATCTGGACCAAAACAAACCTAGAATGCTTCCCTATGTTAGAGAGATCTTTGCTTATCTGGATGGGATCACAACAGACCAACTTAGAGAAGATCCAGATTGCCAAGAGTGATCACCCAACATTGCATTCTTAGCTGAAAAGTATTCCCCCAAATCTGCCACCTACTCCCCAACACCTGCCTCTCCTTAATTAGACAAAGATACAGACCCCTGTATATGGACCTGAACTGGACTAGAATCCAGGAATAATGGAACGAACTGAAAGGGCTTTCCTGTGCTTCAATGTCAAGCACAGATTGAAAGTAAACATTTCCCGTCATGGAAACTGTCATGTTCTCCTGTCATGTTATTGAGTTTACACCTCAATGTACTGGAGGAGCCTCAAATCCTTATGTCTAAAACACTACTACTTCAGCATCATAAGCTTGTTCCTCTGCTGACTACTCTGTTTTTTTATAACAAGAAGCTGATCATATTACCTGTTTAAAATCACTGATACTTCCTCCCTTGCCTACAGCAAATCAGATTAGCTTAGTATGATAAAGACAACTCACATACACTAAATGATAGTATGTATCAGGAATTTTATGATACTTTATGCATTGAATTTCCCTTTTTTCTCCTCAGGATTTAAGACAGTGGCACTTCTTATGCAAGACTGCACTTCCTCCTCACAAGGGCCCTGCAGAGTAAGGAGCCCAACCTTAGAAAGGTCACACAGCTAGTGAGCGGTGGAGTCAGGACTCCAAGTGCCATCTCCAACTTGCCATTCCAGTCTTATCTGCTGCCCCTCCTCACCACTCACTCTTCTCGCAACAACATACTTGGCTCTTTCATGCCTCCAAGCCCTCACAAGACTGATCCCTAAATCAGTTATGTCCTGAACTCCCTTTGCAGGAATCCTGCTGATGCTTTGAGGCACAGTCTCACTGTGAAGACTTCTCTAACATTCCCTACCAGGACAGACATCACATTTGGCACGCTTTCAAGTGTGTTCTCTAGCATTTGTACCAACAGATTCCAGGTGCTGGTGCTTGTCACTCCATTTCTCTATCCCACTAAACCACAACACCTCTGGGCAAGAACTTCTCCTGATTCATTCTTGACTATCACAGTAGCACTGTATCTGGCACGTAGTAAGCATTAATGAATGAATGACTCAACCTATCAAATGTGGAGTAGGGAAGAGTTGAAAGAATCAGCTAACAATAATAAGCAACTGTGGAAAAAGAAATTACTGAACCTAAGAGTCAGAAATTTAGAGATCTAATCCAGACCCTGCTGCTTAGTATTCGTAAGGTCTTATTCAAATCACCAGAACAGTCTGAACATATCACTTTCCCTGAGAAAGGCACTGTATCTGCTCTGCCTTATTCACAGGTGTAGTCTCAGGGCATCTGAGATAATACACAGCAAAGCTACAATGGCTTATACAAATGTAAGGCATTCTTTTAGACACGTAGTTTATTTTTTTAACATGCTAAATGCTGTAATAATAATGAGTATTATTTTAAAAACCATAAATAATAAAAATAAATGAAACTCAAGAATTATCACAGCCAAAGGATTTTTAAGCATTAAGCTATTCTTCTTGGAATGCTATCTAAGGCAATGCTATCAAACCATTTTTGGAAATCTCAAAATCACTGGGTTCATGGTCTGTGTTTCAGGATCAGATGCAGAAAAATCAAAGAAGGAAAAGAGAACAGTGGTGGTGTTTGGCAGGCATTCCAAATCATGTTTGTTAACTGGGACGTGGGGGTTGGGGCGCAGGGAGGAAAGCTGGGGAGGATGGACTGGAAGTTGAGGAATTCAAATAATATGAGGAAATTCAAAATATATAAAATTAAACAAGTTTCTTATTGCAAGACTTCCCAGCATCTTTAATATGTTAATATATATCCTAAGTCCTCAAAAAGGTGATAAGGTATATAATTTGCAGTAGTATTACAGGGAGCCTTCTTTAGCATATAAAATCTGAGTTCACAGACAATTCTCTTCAAACTCTAGTTTAAAAGTGACTGTACTTTTAAACAAACAATTGGAGGGGGGCATAAAAGCTCCAACAAAGAGCAACACCTAGGGATTTTAGAGCCCTTTCTCAAATGTCCCGATCTGTAGCTGACAGGGAATATTCAAACTGGCTTGCCAGTTCTTAGGGGGAAAACAGGTCAAGACCCAACTCTAGTTGTCCGAGGTCTGTATTTTCCTTTCCAAAAGTTCGGGGGCGGGGGGGACCGCCAAAACACTCTATAATGACTAGGACAAAAGCACAAAGAAATAGCGCATAAGTAAATATTTCAGAAGTCAAAAAGAAAGATGTACCATGAATTCAGGGTGTGGCTCTGGAAGGCAGCTGATTGGCTGGGTAGGCCAGGGGGCGAGGTCTGGCCTGCAGCTGTCAGCACCTCGGGGCAGTCAAATTCTGGAAGCTGCTTTGTTCTCAGAAAGTTCACAAGAGACAGATACGCAAGAAAAATGGCAGCTTACTGATTTACACAACAAGAAATTGAGTAACAAGAAACAGATGCTTGCATCTTCTTGCACATGCCTTCTGTCCTTGTAGGCAAGCTAGATGTAAAGCCATGAGGGTCGGATTGCTTGGCAAGCCTGGCATCAGGACAAAGAGAACTGTTATTCAATTTAAATGTTTAATGGCATCAGGATAAGGTAAACTGGAAGGAAAGAAGGAAGGAAGGGAGGGAGGGAGGGAAGGGGTAAAAGACTAACTGCTACCTAGCCCAGGGCAATTCTGCCCACTTTAAAGTGGCTGGAGATGACCACTTCTAAGCTCTGCTGCAGGCTGGGCTTTCCCTGAATGAAACAACATTGGGGAGCTAGAGGAGGGCAGAAATATTACAGAGCAAAACTTTGGGAGAAATTTTTATGAAACAAATGTTATTGAATTCAAAAAACAATTCCAAACAACTAGGAATTATTTGCAGTAACAATTCAGAAATAAATATGAAGATGTTTTAGATCAGGATTTGTGAACTTGAGGTCTTTATAAAAGAGGAGTAGACAGAAGATCAGGTTTCTCTCACCAAAGAGGATGTAACGTGTTCAACTCCCAAATCCAGAAGTGGATAGCAAGTAAAGAAAAACAACTTCCAGACACTTTATGATTTAGTGGTTAGTACTATATTCTTTCCATTCAAATTACATATGTGCATACCAATTACATATATGTGCAAGTGTGATACCTTGTTCAAAAGCCTAATCAGAGCAAATCCTATGTCTACTCATCTTTCTAATGAGAGTATTATAGCATCGGACATACAAGACACAAAGTACCAAGCACACAGTAGGCATTCTATAAATAAATGATGGTGAGTAATGAACTTAAACTCAGTGGACTTTCAATAATATGTTTCACATACAGTAATTTCCTGTGGGTTACAGAATCATTTAGTGTTACAGTAACCTTCAGAAACAAATCATACTTGAGTGATACAATTGCAGAAAAGGCCAAAAATTCTACCCTTAGTCTTGACTAAATACTATCTCTTAGGGATTAGCTTTAAAATTAAAACAATATATTTCCTTCTAACTAGACACAAATAGGTTTTAAAAATTCAAATTAAAACTAAGATCAGCAGTGACCAAATTATTACAAAGAATGATCTAGATGACTGGCACTTATTATATTGCAAATTTATTCCTCTACTGGATTTAGCACTGTTCTTTGTCTTTTACTAAAGCCCTTTCTTTAGGCAGAAAAAGAACAGGATACAATTTGCAAGTCTAGAATTCCTGGACTGATAAAAACAACACTAGGTGCCCTTGAATTTCCTTTTCACGTGTTTTCTCCAGATTCCCCTATTCGTTAATGGGGACACTACCAATAGTTAAGTCCAACATTCTTTTGCTTATCAAGCCTGGGGAAAAGAGATAACAAGTTTGGCACTCAGGACACCTATAAATAGATGTGGTGTCTCTAACCATCTACTATCAAACTTTTAAAGTAGGAAAACAGAACTGCTTTACCTGACAGGTAAAACATACTATTTAATGGGTGGTTTCACATACTACATTTCAGAGGAAAGAGTATCTTCAAGGCTACTGAATTACCTCACACTATAAAAATTTTCCTAAATTCATCATTAGGTGCAACCATTATGCCCTGGGCTATTACAACAGGTCTCTAGGTCAGATACTATATATATATCCCATGCTGTATCATAAAGGCAGTATAGCCAAGGCTTCTTTCCTCTCTGAGGTGAAATCCAAAGAGGAAGAAGTTCACAGTCAGGTAAAGGTTCAATCCCCAGCCCTAAATTTTTACTAGTTGTATTATTTCCAACCAACATTTACTGTAGATGTACACTACTTACTAACACTGCTCAAAGTACTGGGTTTATGAGTCTATGAAGACTGATAAAATACAGTCCCTGCCCTTACGAAGGTTCACAACTTTAGGGGAACACAAAGAAGGGAGAAATTAGCTCTTTAAGGGGAAATGTAGTGAAAGGTTTAATAGAGGAAGAGAAGCTTGAACTGAATCTCAGGCTAGTAGGGGAGACAGGGCGGAGCAGGACGGGGTGTAAGAGAATGATGCAGACTGACGCGGGTGTGGGGAATGGCTGGAGTGCATTTAGTGGGGTAGCAGAAGATGAAGGTGGAATGACAGATAGGAATAAAATACCTTTCTATCATAAAATACCTTTTTTTTGCCATGTTAAAAAATTATCCTGAGTGTTAAAGTGAGAGTCAGTCAAGGCTTTTCATTAAGTGAAGAACTCCCAATAAAGAACATTTATTAAGTGCTTACTTAAGTACCAAAATGTCTTCTAAGAATGTTACATGTGTTCATGCATTTAATCCTCATGACCCCCCTGAAGTCCTATCAGAATGCCACTTTGGGCAGATTATGCTAGTATGGGGTGGGTGGTAAAAAGGCTGGGAGTAGATTAGATCAGAGGAATATAAATAAGGTTAGCAGGACTCGATAATAAATAATCAGGGGTTATAAACTGGTGGCCTACAGCTACATTTATGTTGGATTGTCCTATGATTTAAAAATTGGAAGATATCACATAAAAATCCATATTTTAGGTTCCTAAATATTCAGATCTGTGATAAGCCCACATTCCTGCCTGGAAATAGACTGCTGGAACAGAGAAGCAGCAGCCTCCTAGCAATACTGTTACTGTAGGTAGTTAACTAGTTATTAATAAAAAGGCAATTAAGACATTGAGCTTAGTAAACTGGGTGGCGTGAGCCTACTTGCTTCACGAGGAAGTTACAACTTCACACCCTGGGGGATTATAGCATTTCTCTGCCAAGAGGATCAACACTCCTCCCTTCTACCCTCCAGTATCAGATTGTTGGGAGACAGAGCAGGAGGTATTAGATCATAAAGGCCTGTCAGGTCTAGCTAAGAAGTAAACCCATCCAAAAACCCTCGAGAGCCTGGGAAGTTGATTGGTTCTGTTGAAAACCACCTGGTCCATCCCAAATCCAAGCTAATAATCCCAGGATAACAAAGAAGTTTTCTCCTCCATACCCCGACAACTGCCACTCAGTAATGCGCTCTTCACATGCATTTGTGTGCTCTCTTCTGCGAGCACACAACCATGTGGGATTAGCAGTTACCAGGGCCTGCAGCAGATGGTTCAGGCTCCAAAAGGACTGAGTTTTAACATGAAGGAGAAGCTATGGACCCCCTTCAAAACAGAAGCTATGGCTTTTGTTTTGGCCTTGCTGAAGACAAGGTTGAACTTTTCCATGGCAGGAGAGACAGAGAATGGAAACCCAGGGGGCAGCTTCCATTTCCACCCGATAAGCCATCTCGCCACACTACAATCTCTCGTGCGTGGGTCCTTGGAATGCTTTCCTCACAATCCTGTGGAAGAGCCTGATTTCCATAGACAACCACACCACATCCCATGGGAGTCCAACAACTGTTTACTTCCTTGTGCCCAGCTTCCTTCACTCATTTTATTACCTGTAAGCTTTATTATCTGCTTCCTGTAAGCATTTGAGATTACAATCCTTTTCAAAATAGTGGCAGAAGAGATTAAAAGAAGGGCACAGCTACTCAGCTGGAAACTTTGAAATCTGTAATTATCCCTGGATTTCAGATTTGGATGACTGGGTAAGTGGTCCTCTCTTTTATTGGTAAGGATAGGCAGTATTGGAAGAGCAAACTTGGTGGGGAAAGAAAATTACTTCAAGGCTGATCCTGTCTGAGCTATCTAACCAGAGTTGGGATCCACATCACTACAATTGGAGAGAATACCGCCAACCTTAGAGGGCTGGTGTGCTGCTTCAGTGGTGGTGGCAGAGCACAGTGCTGAAGGCCAGAGTGCCTGGATCTGAATTTTGACCCAGACAGTCACTAGCTGTGTGACTTGAAGTAAATTACTTAAACTTTTGTGCTTCAGTATTGGGTGGATGAAAATAAAGGTGACAATGTCCAACTTGTGTACGTGATGATTATGTTAATACAAGACTTTTAAGAATTAAGAAAGTTAATACTTGTAAAGGACTTAAAACAGTGCCTAGCACAGAGAAATGTCAGGTAAGTGTTCAATAAATCAATAAATTAAATAAGAAAGTATTTTAAAACATCTTTTGACTCATATTAAATGTGCAAAAGTGAATAATTTTCTTCCTTTCCCTGCCTAGTCTTCCCGATCACTTCTCCCACCTTGGGCTGCTATCCTAGGTTAGTTTGCAAATTTAGTTTCTAGTGCATATTCACTATTTTTCCTAGTCTTAAAACCTACTTGATTTGACAAATTAGGTTGTTTTTAATGTAAAGCAGAGAGAAATGTATCAGAAAGTACATATTGGTTTCTTAAAAAGACAAAGTGAAAAAAAAGTCTTCATATAAGTGTACTAGAAGTTCCTAGTGATTTGGGGTTATAACTAGGGAAGAAAAAAAGTGTTCCAGGGAAGAACTAACCACTTCTCTCACAAGATGCAGTAATTCTTATGAGGCAACAGACCATTCGTTTATAATCTGATTCCTACATTTAGGGTCAAGAGCTACTGTTTTGTTTTTTACTTAATGTGACTCTCTACATTTGCTGTGTGGCCTATTCACTAGTCCAGAGGAGTGAATTCACAAATATTTGCTTTTTCTTTTCTTTTTTCCCTTTTTTTTAAGAGTCATAAGTCTGGCAGAGCTAGCACAATGGTGCTGAAGTTAACATCATTTTTATTTACAATATTGTTTTTACAAAGATATTCTTTTTTTTTTTTTCCTGCTGACAAAAATATCCTCAATGGTTGATTTCTCAAATGTTTAACTGGGCATGGTAATGCTATTAATGGCAGACTACCTGAGTATGTTGATCCAAATAATTACTAAAAATTCCTCTGAACTTTTTAACTTGCGAAGGGAAGAAAAAGTGTTTATGATAACCAAATATAAACAAACTAGGAAATAAATTTGCCAAACAAAGTAGCAATTTTACCTAAAAACCAACCAGTTGATAGATCTTAATGATGAGGTAAGGTAGAATCTCATTTTTCTCAAAAATATTCAGAAAGAAGCCATGTCTTCTTATAATATTTACATAACTTAATTTCTCTATTGCTATATCTGTCTAGTAATGCATTAGATTTTCTCTGCAAAAGATAGTTGACTGAATCTACTAAGT